ATGTACGCACTTAATTAGGCAATAACTTTTAAAGATCTCTGCACTCTATTTTTGACAACTATCTTATATCAAGTCGCCATGAGAAGAATGACCAATATGTGACACTTATCCGATTTTAAAAAAGAATACAGCCTCATATTTTCAACAGGGAGAAATTGAAGCTCCAAAGAAATATGTTTTAAAAATAGATGGGAAAAAGCCTGTCAGTGTTTGGAACTAGAGAGAGCGAGGGTACCCACATTCTGGGAAACTATAATGCTAACAGGTTTTCTAGCTGTCAAAACTTGAAATAGAATCTACAAGGGCCCAAAGGTTTGAAATAAGAATGTGGTCAGATGCATAGATGGTATGGACTTTCAGCTGACTAAAACAAACACCAAAATAGCAACAGAGTCTGTCTCAGATGAGCTTGCTTTCCCAGCAGGCTCTTTGCTTGCAAGACATTTCTATTACATTTTCCTAAAAGGGAATCATGCTTCCCTTGAAACAACAGTCCTGCTCACATTGCATGGAGCACCAAACTTCTGCAAATTTCTGACCATGGGTGCCCATGCTTAGAATATGCCCCATCTTGCTGTTTCAGAACTAACAATCCCTATCTTGCAGAGACACCGGGTTCCAAATAGCTGCAAGTCACCTGTTTGGAGCTTGCATCACACATTCTTACAGAAACCAGTCTAGGTAGGATTTGAGGGTCCTGAGAGCAGTCCAGTTAATTCGATGGCACCTGAAGTACCTAATGGTGTGAACCGCAGAAATAGGAGATCTTGGTTAACATTGTCTTTAAAATGCATTTTCTTTAAGCGTCCTAACTGGGGATGCCTGGAATGTGGTTCTAATCTCAAGGCCAGGGACTCCCGATGCAGGCTTTCCAGGCCTTGGAACCACCATCTTCCTGAATATGGAACAGAGCAAATGATAGGAGCCTAGGGCCCGTGAGGAATGGGGTGGGAAGCTCCCCCCACAATAAGGTCACCTCATCCAAGGGGCTCTCAGTCTCTCCTCTCAAGGCCTGTAGCTGACAAGGACCCTCAAAGTGCAAATCACTCACCATGGCAAAGATGACCCATTGGTTTGCTTTCATTGCCTCTTCACCCTCTGTATCCTGGGAAGTTGAGCTTACATGTGGGAAGGAGGAACGTTGTCCTTTACTTTAGGGAATCAGAATGAAGGTAAATGTTGGTGAGGTGCAGCCCTTGGAACAGAAGCAGACATGGGTCTAGCACTGGTTGCTGTTAATCCCTCAAAATGGAAAAAAGGCTCTAGAGTACAGGACACTGTAACATCCCTAAATTTAAACACGTGTTCATCAGGCTCCCGGCTCAGCAGGGAGCCTGCTTCTCCCTCTGACCTTCTCCCCTCTCGTGCTGTTTCT